CATTATGTGGAGGAAGATTGTGAGCACGGCGTCCTGGACTACCCTGCCCGACATCATTGCAGTAGAGAAAGCTTTTTTTTTTCTCCTTTTTCCTTTCACTCGCGGCACTATAAAATTCAAATTTATGGGACATTGCCGACCATGTGTCCCACCCCCAATTTCCCAACACTCGCGGAGGTACTAGTAGTTTAAAGGCTTTCTTTTTTTTTCTCCTGCGTGACATAGCCTGGAGGGCTACCGCGCTTGCCAAAAGGCCAGAGCCGATGCGCTCGATAGTGTCCTAGCCGACCAGTGACGAGTCGCACTTTGAACTTCAGCCCCCCAGTGCGCCGATTCGCATACGGGCCCGATAGAGGCGTGGGACCGCGCATACCGCTTATGATACAGCGTACGAGAAACGCCTCAACGTCACCTCTGCGATCGCAACTGATTAGCTTTCGCATGTGGTTTGGTAGCTCGGCGGGGATACGCCCGTTCAAGGGTGGTGACAGCCCCTTGGGCGGAGGTAAGTTGTGCCTCATATGGCCCTATCCTGTCGTAGGGGTTCGCGAGAGGTATGGCTGGCGCACTCGGCCAGAGCGGCGACTAAGCTCCATTGCACCGCGATAAAAAAGTCCTGCATGAAATCCTGCGTGATGCGGCTAGGAGGGTCCCCCTGCGGGACCGATGCGCTCGACAACGTACACTGATGATCCCATTTACAGCGAGCTAATTAGAAAGGTGCAGACTGCACCACACGAAGTCCTGGAGTACAAAGTAACCAGCGGACTACTGTTTGAAAAAACAGAAAGGTTCGACAGACTATGCATCTCAAACGACGAGCCAATCAAAAGTCTGATCCTGGGAGAGTGCCACGACATTTAGGACCATTTCAGTTGGAGGAAAACCTGCTATATCCTCCGGTCCTACACCTGGGTCAGCATGAAGCACGACTGCATTGCCTATATCCAGGGGTCTTAAGTGTGTCAACAGAACAAAAGTTCCACACAATCCCCACTTGGCCTGTTGAGGGCACTACCTGTCCCGTCCGGTTCCGGTGACTCCATATCTACGTAAAGGTCAAGAGCTGAAGCGAGGAGAGTCAAGTGATGGTGGTAGTAGATCGTTTTAGTAAATTTGCTGTATTTTTTCTGCTGCCCGCTGACGCGAAGACAAAATTAGTGATTAAAGAGTTCTTAAATAACTGGTTGAAAGACTTCTGACACCCACTGACGATAGTTAGTGATAGAGTGTGGATTCACAGGTGAGCACTGACAACAATTGATAAAAGTATATGGGTCGAAGCTCACAATACCTTCCAGTAGACACCCGGAGACTAATGGCCAGACTGAGCAGATGAATAAGCTGCTCCAGCAAGTGCTCCGCATGTACATTAGTCCCGACCAGATTGATTGGGATGAACATCTTCCCAAAGTGCAGTCTGCGTACAAGAACTCGGTACACTTGTCTACTGCACGTACCCATAACGAACTGCACAGAGGTTGGCAACCCCGATGTCCAATTGACTGCTTGAATCAATCAGATTCAAAGACTGCCACCCGGTACAAGGGAGTTTGCCATTCAATACGAGAAGGATCTAGAGCAGGTCAAGAAGCACATCTTTAAGACCCAGCACCAGATGGTAGAGCAAGCTAACAAACATCGACGATCATTGTAGTTTGCAGTAGGTGACTTGGCATGGGTTAAGTCTAAGGAGTTGATTCCTGAAGAAGCAATCTCGAAGAAACTGTTACCTGCATATAGGGGACCATGGCAAGTCTTAGATGTCAAAGGAGAGGCAGATGGTCCGTCCTACACTATCGAGATTCAGCCCCACCTGCACACATACCCAGTGTTTCACGCATCGAAGTTGCTTCCCTGCATTACAAACGATCAGTTTCCCTCTCAACGTTCCATGATCCCACCGGATATGGATGGAGGTTATGATGTAGACCAAGTGGTTGCTGAGGATACTTTCCGTACAGGTCGTTGAGGGAGACCACAAAGACAATACAAGGTCAGATTCGCCTATCAAGAACCCAGCGAGGACCGCTGGTTCCCCAGGGAGAAACAATACAGACAGCCCCTCATATCGTCTCCTATTGTGAGAGGGCTAGACGGGGAATAAATGTGTATGATCGATAAAGCTGACATTTTCTCGAAGGGCCTCGAAATTAGGCCGGCGGTCGGTATCTAAGTGTCGTAGGTTGGTAGGAGTGTGTCTGGTACCCAACAAGAAAAGTCCGGAAGCATCCAGTTTAGTCCGATAGTCCCAAGCCAAATTTTGCAGCATGTCCCAGGAAAGTCCGAAAGCTACCGGGCCGACAAAATGTTTGCAGCAGACAGGCCGTGGCCGACCGGTACCGGTCTGAAGCAGGCCAAGCCAAGCCAAGCCAAGCCAAGCAAAGCCAAGTCCTATATCTAGCTACTACAGTGCAGCGGCTCATCACTTGTTCAGTTGCCAGATGCGGAAGAGCTGCTGCTGCTTGTGCGTAAAGGCAACGTGCGAACAGCGCTCCCGAGGAAGAAGAGGGCGCATGCCTGTGACTCCATAGTTAGGTTAGGAGTAGTGCAGGAGGACGGAGGACTTAGCCGCCAAGGTCGAGCTCACCTGAGTGGGTGTATCCAGGGTGACAATCTAGGTTTGAGAGAGACAGTGAGGCAGAGCGAGCCAAGTTAGAGAGAGAAGTAAGCCGAAGAGAGAGTGTTGCATACTGTAACGTGCAGACCAGAACAAGAACCGACCTTTCAATACAAAGTACAAGATAACACAGCGGAAGACTTAGATACCAGTGATCCGAACAATCAATGTTGTAATGCAGCCCTGGACATACATCATCTCGTTACAAGGTGTGAATGGGTCTGGCGCTTCACACAGGAAGACAGCGCCAGCCCATACCATACACAGACGAAGAGGAAGGGGATAGACGAAGAGGGGGAAGATGGGAATGTCGTCAACACCAAGACTTCGGCACAAACCCAAATAGTCCCTCGTCGGAATGTCTGAATCCCAAATGTCAAGTCTGGATCCAATGTCGTCAAGTCTCAAGTCACAACTCTGTCTCTCTCTGTCGTAGTCTGAGAAGTMAGGTGGCGAGAGGGTGAGAAGAGAAGGTGGACTTAGAAAAGGAAGAAGAAGAACTCTCTCTCTCTCTGTGTCCAGTACTAACCTGTGAAGTTGGCGCCTTGATGCAGGTACCACGAAGATGGAGCTGGAGCGATGGCGCCACAGGTAGGTAACACTGGCCTCCGCCAGTCTCTCTCCCACTCTACGATCTACCACCTACCAGCGCCCAGCACTGAAGGCTACAGCTACAGCTATGGCGCCCAGCGCCGAAGACTACAGCTAGCGCTATCACTACTGCAGCGCTCCTCCTGAGTGCTGCGGCCGATATCCTGAAGACTACCTCCGCCTACTGAACTACCTACCCGTGAAGTGCATGGGAACTTCCTATGTACTACGGGTGTGCCTCCTGAGCCTGCCGAAGGGAGGCAGGGGCTGCAGCTGCAGCTCCTGCTCAAACTCGTGAGGAACAGGCTATTTCTGGCCTGTTCCGCATCCCTGTTTACGTGCCTGAGTCTTAGGGGCAGGTCAAAACAATGAGGGCCTGAAAATGGCCCTCCGTTTCAGGCTGAAAACTCTGGGTCTGAAAAGACCCAGAAATAGGCTGAAACGGGGTAGGGCCTGCAGGCCCTCGTTTTTCAGCATCCAGGCTGAAACGAACGGGGCCTGTAAGCCCTAAGTTTTAGGCTTTTAGGCTGAATGTCCGGGACGGGCCCTGCAGGGCCCGTGTGGCTACGCAGTATGCCACAGAGAGAGAAGCCATAACCGCCACCTGATTGAGATCCGTTGTGTGTGTGTGTGCGGCAGAGCCAGTGGAGACTAAAATTCTTGTATATTGATATTAATATTGGGGACGACATCTTCAAGTGTTGATTGTATCTTGATTTCGCTTCTCTGTGTGAGCTCTCATGTGAATGTTTCTTGCTGTATGCGAGCTTGAACTTGACGAGTACGTGCCCCATTTCAAGATGACTGCAAACTACCACCAGATATCAGTCAAGAAACGGACTTGGAATGAATATGCCCTCACAACTCCATATGATTCATGCTTGGCCACTGGCTCATACATGAAGTACATCAAAATGCGTCTATCCGACTGGACCTCGCTATAATTGCAAGAAAAGAAGGCACGAAGCCAAACCCCTCGTGTTCTACGCATATGAAATGGAACAGGTTTTGAACTTTCCAATGAATTATGCGACCAATATTGAGACAATATTCTGGGACCAGTTTCAAGGCCAGATTTGGGACCAGTTTCGGGGCCGGCTGAGGAGCCTGAAGAGAACGAACAGGCGCAATCGAGAAAGAGCAGGTAGCACGCTCTTATTGATGGAACAGGTTTTGGACTTTGCAATGAATTATATTGAGACACTATTCTGGGATCAGTTTAAAGGCCCCATTTTGGGACCAGCTTACGTACCTGAAGAGCAGGAAGAGAAGAAAACAAAAGAAAAAGAGCAGGTAGCAGGCTCACATTGATTTTTGGGTCAGGCTCTGAACTGTTTAACCTTTGGATAACACTTCCAGAAAAGTTGTAGCAATGGGCCTCATCCCACTAATCTCGGCATGCACAAAAGACAAATGATGGTGGTGTATCTTTCCATGTCCTAGCAGAGCAGAATATTCCCTCTCGTTTTACACATTTCGAGAGTAGTGGAGCGAGGCCCAATGTCATCCAGTCAGTGGGCACACCGACTAATTTGAATGGATCAGGTTTTAAACGCAACCAACATTGAGACAATATTTGGGAACCAGCTTCAAGGCCCATGTTGGAACAGCTTAGGAACCTGAAGAGAACAAAGAAAGAGCGGGTAGCAGGCTCACATTAATGTTCTGGACAGTGTCTGAAGACTCTGAACTGTTCAATCTTTCAATACGTAGTTCAAGCCTCAAGGTGTGACTCATTCCTTCCACCCAGCAAGTGCCAGGCATTGTCCCATTCGTGCACGCAACTCACCGACAATTCCATATGCTTTTGTGACGAGCTGCAATCCACCGCCGCCTCCCGTTGCGAGAGGAAATTGCCACTCGCCAACAATTCCATATGCTTTGCTGACAAGCTGAAGCCCTCCCACACTGGGCCTGTTGGCATCTGCAATCTGCTTCAACATGTTGGCGCACCCTTGCTCCGAGTAAACATTGGGGTCTTCAAAGATTTTAAGATCACTGCGGTCGGACCTGTCCAGCTGCAAGACTCTCCAATGCTGCTTGCTTTTATCCCTCCCAACCAGATAAAACTTCTGTGTACACATAGAGTTCAGCAGGCAGGAGAAAGACAAGTCGGTGAGTGAATAGGGAAAAAGAACAAGCACTCAACAGGAGGGAAAAATAAAGTTAAAGAAGGGAGGCAGGTAAAGAAATGATCGCAAGGTAGGATGAAAACATCAAACAATGGATCTGTCCACGAGCACACATGTCAACAGAATAAGTAGCCGCTACTGGAACACAAAGCACATCCCCCTACTTATTGTAGCCAAATGTTTTATCTCTGGCACTCAATACTTCCAAAACCTCTACTGTTAACCATCAAATTATGTGTACAGATATTGATCAAAGATAAGATATCTCATCCTGCACAGCGATCATCAAAACCAGAACGATACAGAGAATATTAGCATGGGCCCTGTGCAAGGATGACGCCCACAAATCAAGATGGCATCTGGATGGTGCTGTCAGTTCTTCCAAAACAATCCAAGTGAGAGGACAGCTGGCAATGTCATATCAAAAAAGGGTTTCATCTCCAAATTACCAGCTATCAATATAAGTTTGAGAGGATGGACAAGGATTTAGCAAAATCTACTGCTTGGTCATATCTCCAATAGACTCAGTTGCTGATGCACATGTCAACAGAATAAGTAGCCTCTACCAGAACACAAAGCACATGGCTATTGTGGCCACAGGTATCTCTGGCATTAAATACTTCCAAAACCTCTACTGTCAAGCAGCAGATTCTGTGTACAGATATTTGCAATGAACCCAGATCATGAAGACACTTGTCAACAATGCAAGCCCAGATGAATGCCAACCCGCTAAAGATTATCAATAATCAGAATAGTGTCCAGATAGAATGAGATGGGATAATCATACACAGACGAAGGACAGAGGAGGGAGATTAGACAAAGGAGAGGAATAAATAACAAGACCCACTCCTGCTTCGGGCTCCCTCCTTGATCACCACCTCAGATAATCAATAGTCTGAACACACATCTAAAGTTTTATTCCAGTGTGCCACGTGGCACGTCGACCAGACCCTCATCAGCGTACTGGAGCTATGTCGACCTCAAGATAACCAGGTACGTGTCCATAATCATCCCACAGTCATGATCTCCTCCCGAATGACGATGAAACAGAACAGCAGTGCCGGTCACGCAGCCCAGCCACGTCAGAAGATAGAACACGTGGCAGCGGCCACGTCAGCAGCAACGCATGGCAGCTGCCACGTCAGCATGCCTTGAAGACAATAGCCAGCCAGCCACCATGCCGAGCTAGCAGTGCGTCGCTGTAATCTCCGAAGTGCCAGCAAAAGCCGGCGTCCACCAGCATCGCAGCGTCAACGCGTGAAGTAAGCATTGACGCAAGACTGAATGAATCTCAAAGGCAGCGGGTCAGCGCTTATGTAGCGTTGACGCGGGGTCTGGACCCCGGATACCGGAATCCTCAGCCATTGAGATGTCAACGCAGATGACGGCCCAGATTGGCCTGAAACCGAATCCTCCATGTTGTTTGGGTACCTGCGCACAACAAGTGTGTGTATCTGACCAGGGTCTGGGCGGGGTACCTTTGACTTGACAGTTGACTTAGACCTTTTGACTTTCCAAGCAGCACGTGCTCTCACTGCCTGGCGCAGGCTGAGTTTGGCCTTAGTCGTCTGGGCCTTGCTTTGAGAGCCCAGACCGGCTGCAGGACACGGGTTACTGCATTCCTGCCGACCCATTTCCGAGTTCCATCACAGAAATAATTAGGACTTTAACCCACGTTCATATGCAGATACAATATCAGGAACAGTTTCAAGTAGTTCTCGTGTACTAAACCATCGGTACTCAGATGGTGCCTGGGACTTAACGTACCTTGAATTGCTTCAGAGGTTGTCCACGTCCTCCTGTAAAAAAGTATCCATGTTCTACGATTCTGTCTACCTCATATCCGCCATCCATGTCTGGTGGAATCATAGAAGGTCGGTGTGGGAACTCGTTTCCTTCTACATAATGTAACAATTTGGACGCGTGAAAGAGACATGATATGTTTTGAGACGAGGGGGAATATCATTTCGATAAGACGGTCCCTCTGCATCCCCAATTACTTTGAGAACTTCCCAGGGTCCAAAATAGACGGGCACAAGTTTCTGAGACACATTTTCTTCCAATGAGAACTCTTTGGACTTTACCCAGACTAGATCACCTTCCTTGAATGTTAAGGGTCGGCGATGTTTGTTGGCTTGTTCAATCATTTGGCCCTGAGTTTTTTTCAGATTATCCTTTACTTTCTTAATGTTTTCTTGAAACAATACTGCATACTCCCGAGGCCCTGGAGGTAATATCTTGGGCAGTGCATTAAACGTACGCCCCGTAGCAATATGAACACTACTATGTGCATTAAACACACCAATGGGACGCTTAGGTTTCCACCCCTTGTGCAGTGCATTAAACGTACGCCCCGTAGCAATATGAACACTACTATTGTATGCCCTTGCTATCTTGGGCAAATTCTCATCCCAATCAATCTGATCGGGTCTCACATACATACGCAAAAGTTGTTGGCAGAAACGGTTCATCTGCTCACTTTGTCCATTCGTTTCAGGGTCCGACATGGAGAGTCGTGTGTCGTATGCCTCCATGAGCTTTGGCCATGGCATACTTGTGAACCTGACGTCACGATCAGACACAATGGAGAGGGGAAACCCGTATTCAGTCACCCATCACATCTGAAATTTTTGGATCACAAGTTATGTCCGTGCCTCTGCGGGTAAGGCAATGAACGTGGCATACTTAGAGAAACGATCCACAATAACCATTACTTGACTATTGCCATTACGGCTCTTGGTAAGACTCATAAAATCCATTGAAATTGACTCACCTGGTTTGCTTGGAATCAGTAATGGTTTCAAAAGACCAAGTGGATTCTCATTTGAAGGTTTGTTTCTCTGACATACCAAACACGTACGAACATAAGTTACTACGTCTTCTTCCAGTCCCTTCCACTCAAAGCGTTCTCTAACCTCTGCGTAAGTTTTCTTGAACCCAAAATGTCCTTCAAAGTCATGACATTCCCCAATTATCAGACTCTTTACTTCTTCCTGATGAGGAATACACAATCTTTTTTTAGTTTGGTCTAACAAGAAAAGCAAACCATCGGTTACTCTATAATTGGGAAGTAGAGCTGGGTCTTTCGCAAAAACATCCATGATAGGCATCCAAATAGGGTCAGTAGCATACCCTTGGCGAATTTTACCTTTCAAATCATTCCCAATATCCATATAAGAGACAACTGCACCAAAGAAATCACACCGTCTGGATAATGCATCTGCAACCACATTAGACTTACCTTGGATCGTTTTTAATTCAAAAAGTATCAACAAATGCAGACCATCGTACCAACTTATCTGAGAGTCTAGGTCGTGTTTTTATCCACTTCAGGGTAGAGTGGTCTGAATAAACACTAAAGTGTCTCCCTAACAAGTAGTGCTTCCAGGTGTTCAATGCGCAGACTAAAGCATATAGTTCCCTTTCGTAGGTAGAGTTGGCGACTTTTTTTTATGGGAGTCGTGCAGACATAAACTCAATGGGTCTATAACCATTGCCATCGTTTTGTCGAAGGACTGCGCCAATCTCATACTAACTTGCATCAATCGTGACGATAAACGGAAGAGACGGATCAACAATTTTTAGAACAGGGTAATGAGTCAATGCGTATTTTAACGTCTTAAGAGAAGACTCACAATCCTTGTCCCACAACCAGATAGTTCCTTTCTTCAATAATTATCTCATTGGTGCGGCTAACAGTGAGAAGTTCCTAACAAAGTTCCTATAGTAGCTTGCCAAACATAGAAAAGATTGTAGCTCAGTCACAGACTTAGGTCGTGGCCAAGCTCGAATTGTTGATATTTTCTTTATATTGGCCTTGGGCCATCCTCGTTCATTATATGTCCCAGATATAGGACTTCGGACTTAGCGAACTCAGACTTCTTTGGGTAAAGTTGCCCTCACGCAACTTCCCTAGGACGAGACGTAAGTGTTTTTCACATTTTTCTAGTGTCTTATTGTACACTAGAATATCGTCGAGATAGACAATGACGAATTGATCCAACCATTGACGAAACAATTCATTCATGGACCTTTGAAAGGTCGTTGGGGCATTAGTCAGTCCGAAAGGCATTACCACAAACTCATAGTGACCATACCTTGTTCGGAATGCAGTCTTGTGTTGATCCGCGGATCCACCTCAATCTGGTGGTATCCAAACTTCAGATCAATCTTACTGAAGAACTTACAGCCCTGCAACTGGTCCAATAAGTCGTCAATACGTGGAAGAGGTTCGACATTCTTAACAGTAACGACATTCAACCCTCTATAGTCAATACAGAGACGAAACTCACCTTCCTTTTTGGGCACAAATAGAACAGGGGCACCATAAGGAGAGGAGCTAGTGCGAATCCATCCTTTTTTTCTGCTAAGTCCTGCAACTGTTTCCTAAGTTCCTCAAGTTCCCTAGGAGACATTCGATATAGGGCCATTGGGAATCCCTAGGAGACATTCGATAAATAAGGCCCTTGGGAATCTTACTGCTAGGAATAATTTCAATTGTGTGCTTAATAGCACGTTCAGTTATTCTTGTCGGTTCAATTTGCAGATCTTTATACTCGTCTACGAGTTTTGCAATTGAAGGAGGATAGGAAGTACAACATTCACCTGCTTTCTTTATCAAGATCATTATTACTTCCTGTTCCAACTTTTTCTTTGAAACCTTCGACCAAAATGCTGGGTAACTCATACAACAGAAGGATAGACTAGAGTCAGAGCCAGACTTATGATACAGTTTGATTGGTTTCAATTCTGAATGTGCATCCCGCAGTTGCACTATCTTTTCTTTGAACTTGATTTCTGGGTTGGCTTCCTCGTGCCAATCCATTCCCATAATCAAATCAAACGGTAAATTATTTTCCACAAGGAAAGATACATCGTGTTTGATACGATCAATACACTGCGAGATAGTGATTGTGCGTCTGTCAGCTAAGATAGACGTGATAGGTCGAAACAATTCTTTCATCTTCATTCCAAGATGCAACTTGCGTATTGCTTTCTCGGATGTGTAGGATCGCGTGGATCCCGAGTCCAATAGTGCACCTACGCCTGTATGTGCAATCTCTGCGTCCGTGAGTAGTAGGTCACCCTTAGACTTAGATTTCTTAGCCCACGAACTTCGCAATGCTAGCAACTCGTTACCAAGCTCGTCAACAGAGTCGTCTAGAGAGACAGTGCATAAGACAAGTTCAGGGTGTTCCGAACGATGGGTTGAAGAAGAACCATTCTCTGCTATACGAGTCAAAGGATTAGAAGGGATCGTAGGCGCCTTACCTTCATCTTGGTCCAAACCCTTTGGCTCAGTAAGAGCAGATGCTACTCCCACTAGCGGCTCGCTTTTGGGTTATGGATTAACGGGCACCATGCGATCACATCGCCTGCAGTACCACACTTCAGGCATTGCGCGTTATCCATCCGCTCCTACCAGGTTTCTTGTCACATTACCATATTTTCCCAGGGCTTCCCGGCCGCAATTCCGAAATGCTCCGGAAATGAGCATGGTTTCTTCTTCTTCACTGGTGGTCGTGGTCCTCCCTTGTTGAACACGGCAACAGTGACTTCCCCCTTCCCAGACTCACTGCTGCTCGCCACACCCTCGGCCTCCAATGGCCACTTCTCCACAGTATCATCATCAAAGACGACGAGGGTGTGGTCTTGGCGCTTTTGGCGCCATAATATCCGCTTGCCTGATCCTGCTCCACCACCAAACTTCACAACAGATGCATAAGAATTTTTTACCTGAGAAGTCATTTGCTCTCGTTGGAGAGCCAAATCACAAAACTGCCTATAGTTGTACTTGCCAGATTTGGACTCTGCCACGAGCTGTCCCTGGATGGGCTCTGGCAGAGCGCGGGAATAAATATACAAGACCTGGTTGTCTTGCAGGTTCAAACCAGGAACCTGTAGCAACCGATCCACTTCCCGAGACAAGGCTTCTACTAAGGTCCAATGTTTCTGACAAAACCCATTCCTTGATTAGTGAGCTGATCAAAGACCTTGTCGACCGTCGTCTTATCCAAGAAGCGTTCCTTGATTTTACTCAGGAACTGCTTCAATGTCAATGTAGCAGCCCACTCCCCGATATCATCGAACCCCGCTGCATTGGCTTCAGCCAAAACCCATTCCTTTGCTTGCCCTCCAAGACAAGAAGTAGAGAAAGCAACTTGAGATTCGGGTTCCACAGGGGCCGTACCGCAGTGTGTCTGAATTTCGGCAATCCAAAGCAACAAATTTTCATCTTTCTTGTTGCAGAACATGTAGGGCAATTTCATCTTTACCTTATTTTTCTTCTTAGGTTTCTCAGGCTGTGTGGTGCGGTCCTTTTTCTTGTTGGAGACTTCGGCGGACTCGAAGGTTCTCCTTTCTTTTCTTCCGGTTTCTTTTCTTCTCGTTTCTTAGTCTCTACATTAAGAGACTTCATGGCATCTCCTAATAATTTCTTTGGTTTTTCTTTTTTTTCAATTTCGACTTCCTCAACCACCTGGTGCTTTTCTTTGACCAAATTTGTAATTGTCCGTAGTCCTGCGGCCACATCATCAATTTGTGCCTGCATATGTTCCCCATACTGATCAATTTTCATTTCAAGGTGGGCAAGGTAAGTCACAAGCTGAGCCGAAGAAATTTCTTGCTCTTCCCCTTCAATCTTGACAACAATTTGTCTGATTTCTTTGATTTTCTGTTCTTGTTGTTCGCTCTTTTTCTTCCTCAACTCTTCTTTCTTTTTCTTCTCCTTCTCCAGTGCTCCTTCTAACTGACTGATATTTTCATCCACAGTTTTTTCAGACACATTTATTTCTCTCTTCTTTTTGGTCTGCAATCTTCCTAAGCTGCTCAATGGCATATTCATCAAATGCCTGTCGACACTTGATTAGTACATCCTGAATCAGTATGATGTCGGTGCCTAATTTAGCCTGTTCGATAGCAGCTCGTGCTGCCTTCAAATCAAACTTTTCTCTCACATATGCCTCAACTTCGGCACCAGCACCACGAAGGTCGAAAATCAATTGGTCCAAGCGGGCATTCAAAACCTTCTTCCGCTCGTCCGCTTGATGTCTGGTTTGAAGGTCAAGGGTCTCCTCATCAATACCGAAGATGAGTGAGACTGGATAGAAGAGAAAGGGAATAAATTTTGTAAGCACTGACAATTTCAAACAATTCCAAAAAGAAGACATCGTGATATACGTCTGCGGCACAATAAATAATCAAAGAACAATAATAAATTCCATGGCCACACTATTCTATGACAGCAAGAATTTCAGTCAGCCGAAAAAGAAAATAAATACAATTATTTTATTTCTAACTATTGTTGTTCTTTTGTTTGTTTGTGCAATGACGTTCTAATCAAGAGTGTACAGGTACCGCCTCAGGCCCGTGTGATCAGATACAACACACAAGTAAGTACGCACAACAACACAACACAGCAAACAACAAAGGTAGGTATGCCAACATCAATCACCAACAGTTTGTCAGCAATCTTCTTCTTCTTTTCTCTGTGTCTTCCTGGTGTCCATGCGATGATTCACCCCTTCTTGACAACTGGCACTACCGCTATCCAGTTTCAATCAGTTGTACCACCTTCGTCTTCAAAGTGCAACTCTTACTTGGCAGCTACCTGCCTGCCAACTGTCATCCTTGGAGTGCCGACATAGCAGCTCCTGCAACGTCAGCACATCAATGTCCAATCAACCAGTAGTAGGGATGCCACGTCAGCAAATGTGTGTTTTGTCCTTCCCACGTGCCTCTCTCCACGTGTCTTGTTGTGATAGCGTCGCCGCACCAGCCAATCAAGCCAATGCCACGTCAGCCAGTGGAGCCAATGCCATGTCAGCAGGTGATCATCACGTCAGAAGACGGGTGTGAGGATCCTTCCCTGCCACATCAGCAGTAAGCCTAGTCATCCAAAGGCCACGTCAGCATCTGAATAGGACCGGGTCGCTCATCTGCTGCCTGTGAGATTTGCCACATCAGCAATCTTCAGCACTCGAGTCCCTGGACGTGGCACATAATATGCCACGTCAGCAATAGATCACGACACGTCACTATCGTGACCCTACCTGGCGAGCGGTCACTCTCGGAATCCCGACTGCCACATCAGCAATCGCGTTGGGATCTTCGTCGTCGTTGTCCTTGTCAATCTTGAATGTCACCACAACCAGCACGCGAGTATCTCATTCACCATGGTAGTGCGCTGAATGTCTAGAATCACGTTGAGCGCCCACCTACTTACCTAGCACCACGTGGCGCGCATGTGCTGTCTTCGTCGTCGTCAGGGGCGTACTGCTCTGTTACCAAATTGCAATGAACCCAGATCGTGAAGACACTTGTCGAAAATGCAAGCCCAGATGAATGCAAACCCGCTGATGAGCATCAATAATCAGAATAGTGTCTAGATAGAATGAGATGGGATAATCATACACAGAGGAAGGAGAGAGGAGGGAGATTAGACAAAGGAGAGGAATAAATAACAAGACCCACTCCTGCTTCGGGCTCCCTCCTTGATCACCACCTCAAATAATCAATAGTCTGAACACACATCTGAAGTTATATTCTAGTGTGCCACGTGGCACGTCAACCAGACCCTCATCAACGTACCGGAGCTATGTCGACCTCAAGATAACCAGGTATGTGTCCACAATCATCCCACAATCATCCCACAATCATGATCTCCTCCCGAGTGACGATGAAACAGAACATCAATGCCGATCCCGCAGCCCAGCCACGTCGGAAGATAGAACACGTGGCAGCGGCCACGTCGGCAGCAACGCGTGGCGGCTGCCACGTCAACATGCCTTGAAGACAATAGCCAGCCAGCCACCATGCCGAGCTAGCAGTGCGTCGCCGTAATCTCCAAAGTGCCAGCAAAAGTTGGCGTCCACCAGCGTCGCAGCGTCGAGCCAGCGTCACGTCGTCAACACGTGAAGTCAGCATTGACGGAAGACTGAATGAATCTCAAAGGCAGCGAGTCAGCGCTTATGTAGCGTTGACTCGGGGTCTGGACTCCACATACTGGAATTCTCAGCCATTGAGATGTCAACGCAGATGATGGCCCAGATTGGCCTGGAACCGAATATCCGCTGGCCTCCATGTTGTCTGGGTACTTGCGCACAACAAGTGTGTGTATCTGACCAGGGCCTGGGCGAGGTACCTTTGACCTGACAGTTGACTTAGACCTTTTGACTTTCCAAGCAGCGCGTGGTCTCACTGTCAGGCGCACGCCGAGTTTGGCCTGTGTCGTCTGGGCCTTGGTTTGAGAGCCCAGACCGGCTGCAGAACACGGGTTACTGCATATTGATCAAAGATAGGATATATCATCCTGCACAACGATCGTCAAAACCAGAACAATACAGATAATATTAGCATGGGCCATGTGCAACGATGACACCCACAAATCAAGATGGCTTCTGCATGGTGCAGTCAGTTCTTCCAAAACAATCCAAGTGAGAGGACTGCTGGCAATGTCATATCAAAAAAGGGTTTCTCCAAATTCCCAGCTCTCGAAATAAGTTTGAGAGGATTGCGAGGATGTGGCTCCTCGACAGGCCTAAGGGGTGCCCGCCATAAGTGATGGTGGGCCTAACAAACCACGAGAGGCCGAATGTTGCCAATTTCGTATTTGGGGCTCAAGCCGTTGTGTCACGTCAGTTAGTTGAGGGAACCCAGGACCCGAGCCACAAATACTTTCCACGGCCTTCTAGGCCTTTTCTGAAATGTGGGCTCTAGGCCACATTAGCAGCAACATACATAGACAGTTGCGAGGCGCAACTGAACGAGGCCTAGCAGCAACAACAGACGTCCAGCTACCTGGGGCCTACCGGAAGCTTCCGAGCGCTAGCCCAACCCAGCCAGGCTGCAGGCCAGGCCAGACTCTCTCCATATAGGAAAGAGTTCGCTGCCTGGCAGTGCATTCGGGCACTTGCAAATTTGTGGCAGCACTGTTGGAGCGATTGCTCGCGTACTTCTGCTAGCGCTGGGACAAGGTGTTGTGCAGGTGCCGTCATGTGTGAAGAAGGGCGCTGCTGAGGGCAGCGCCATACGCCCGGCTTCCGTAGCTGGCTGGGCTTGGACATACAACAAGGCGCAGTGGTGGTCTTCGGGTGTACAGAGGGAAGAAAAGGGAGAAAGATGAGGGAGAGATAGAGAGATAGAGATGAGGATGAGGATGTGAGGGCTCATACCTGGTGTTGGCGATGGTCTGCATTTGGGGACATCTTCGTGTACTTCAGTGGCTGCTGACGTCAACAGTTGCATTGTCAATTCTTAGGCAGATAGTAGCTGTCTGGGAGTAGTCTGGGCATCGAGCGCCAAGTAGGGGGAAGGGCCTAGACTCTTATGTTGGTGAAGACTAGAGTAAGCTCCCATTGACATTCGGATTTAGTGTTACGATTCTCCATTGGTGTATTATTGGTGCAATGCTCCTTTCTGGACACTGTGGGAATTTCGGCTTTCAATGTGATTGTGCAATCTGGATTCTGTCATCTCGCTATTGCTAATTTTCCCTGCAATTTGGTATCGGAGCTGGTTCGAACCACTCCACTGGTTCCTTCGCAATAGCTGTTTGGTGCTTCGTTGGGAAATGACGGGGCCAATGATAAAGCTTGTGCGTTGGTGTGTAGGCGGCCCTGAGTTGTGAGGGCGCGCCTGGAAGGCTATGTGTTGACATAGGGGTGCACGCTGGATGATGAGAGCTTGTTGAATGTGGCAATTTAAGCCGAGGTGGAACTGCATTGCATTGGGGGTTTTGCCGAGGCATCGACTGATCATCATAAATGCATGACAGGTTACTCGTGAGAAATCTGTGGTTGGAAGCACCATTATGAGGTATGTTGCTCCTTACCTTATCTACCCTCTTCATTGCTTCTTACCGTGAGAAAGTGAGTTTTTGTCTTGAGAGTCCTCTCATTGTGAAGTGTTGCGAGCGCTCAACCTTGAGAGTCGACATTCTTCCTGGTAAGCAAGCTGGTGGGAGATGGGCGTTGCCTCTGAAGGGCCCTGGAGGAAGCACTCAGGTCCAGTCACACTGCCAACCAGCTGGGACTGGTACATGCATGCTAGGCCGCAAGTCCTTCGTTCTGCTTGCTTCGCAATAGAGGTCATGCCGGGCATGCCAATCCTATAAGAGACGCTCACCATACCGACTATAATTATTTCTGGCAGGTTCCGAATTAAACTCTGGTTGTGATCTTCGTCCTGTCTTCGGCGTTAAATAATTCCTCAGGACGTTGCCTCTTGATCAGCCAAGTCAACCAGAAGTAAGGCTCGTTGCGTGCGAGGCGAAAGTAAGGCTTGTTGCATGCGAGGATAAACAAGGTGCAGGGCTGGCAGGCTTAGCATAGACTTGGGGTACAGAGGTGGGCCGGATTGCACACCTTTAGACACGCTGCTCAACCAGATGCTTAGGACGTCAACACAAGAGACTACTCAAGAGGGATACAGGGGGGGGGGGATTTCGACAACTGTTCGCTGGAAACTAATTAGATAAATTGCCATCCAGCATGCATCTCCACAGGTAATTTATTTTTATTTTTGATTGTTTAGTTGTACGAACTTGGTGACAACTGACAGACAGTTGCAGATAGGATAGACCAATCCTTGTAGTATTGCATTCTGTTTTAGAGGAATCTAAAAATAGAAATAGACTTACCTTTAGGACCTGACATTGATTGCTGGTTACCGCTTGTCTACTTTTCTCCAGGCTGACCGAATTAGTTGATTATTATTACTCGATTGGGTGTCATGCTGAGGTAGGATTCGGTGTGGATTCTAGTCTACATCACACACCACTATAGCTCATGAGTGAAGCAACTGGTAGTGAGGAGGAGGAACGATTAGTGGAAGATCTAAGAGTGACCCGCAGAACTGCTCTAAGTCGACCGATCACTTTCCAGGAGTTAGGTCCAGGAGAGAAAAGGAGGCTATGGATGGAAGCCAGGGAGAGGGTGGCATTACGGAGGTCCAGGGCAGCAGCAGCAAGCGTCGAGGGCGCAATGGCTACCGTCTCTATGTCACAGGGTTTGTCCCAGGCCTCTTCGTCAGGTGTTATTCAGGGTGTCTCTTAGGGTCCCGTTAGTCAGTTTGTTGGCTCACAAGTCAGCCAGCAGTCTCCTCTCACGCTAGAGGATTATGAGATCATCCAAGCGGAAGCCCTTCATGATGAGTTGCAGCAGCAGTTGAGAGAAGCAGCAGCAGTTGAGAGCAGCGCAGCGAGGAGAGAAAGCAATACTGAGAAAAGCTAGACTAGGAACTAGGCGGCACCGCTGGACGAGTCAACACTGGATCCTGCAAATCAGGCGTTGCGTCGCTCGCTTCTTTGCGTGGCAGAAACACAGGTTGTCCAGCAGGAAGTGTTGGCTGAACTAGTGGCCGGCCAGAACCGAATTCTGGCTGCACTGTAGGCTCCTCGTCCAATAATGAGGCAGCCTCAATATTTTGTAGCTCCCCCTTCGGTTGCGGGTCCCTCAGTAACGCCGTCTTCGGTAGGGCCCTCTTTTTCTCCTATGTTTGGCATGCCTCTTTCCCGTGGTTTAGCAACAGTTAGTGGTCCCGTTTGTAGCACTTCTCCCGTACCATCAATGATGTTGGCAGCTACAGTCGCATCGTCAGGACATGCTCAACTTAGCATGCAGCAACCTGTCTCATTGGCCATGCAGCAACCTGTCTCATTGGCTATGCAGCCATTGCAGCAATCACCTGGGCCAACCCAACCCATGCGGTGGATGCCCAAGATTCCCTTGCCGAGTCCTAAACCTTTTTCTAGCGACAAGTAAAAGCATGACCTGGACACCTGGGTGAGAATTGTGCCTACCTATGTGAGGCACAAGCTCACAAGGCCAGAACAGTAAGTTATAGTCGCTGCCTCCTTTCTAGAGGGTTCGACAACACGATAGTTGAATGGTCTAGTTCAGCAACAGGGCTATGGTAAAAATTTTGATGTTTGGGCCCAAGCTCACACATTCGAAGACTTCATACGAGCTGTGTACAATTGGTGGCATGACCCTCAAGCGCTTAGAAGGCCATTGACGCATTGAACAGTCTCGATTCCAAACGGTACCGGACTGTGCAGGAAGTCAAAGACGTCGTAGAACGTCTGATCGTGGTGCCTGGTGTGCGCTACGACCCTCAGGTACTCCTCATAACT